AGGGTAAAGGGGGCATAAATGACTTGGGGTTGTGAACACACAATACGGTGTGCAGAGGATGTGTTACATAATTGCCCACATGAAAGCAACACAATTTTATAACCAGTGTCACTCCAGTAAATTCAGTTAAAAATAAAACCAAAATTTAACACAGGTATCTCTTGAGTAACATGGGTGTTAGGGTTGCTGACCTCCACGCAGCTGAAAATCCATGCATTACTTTTTACTCCCCAGAGCTTAACTGGTGTTAGCCTATGAAGCCTTACCAATAACATAAGTAGCCATTTAACACGTATTTTGTATGTTAAATGTATTATATACTGTATTCTTACAATAAAGTGAGCTAAAGAAAAGAACATGTTATTAAGAAAACCATAAGGAAGAGCAAATACATTTGCAGTAATCATTTTAAAAAATCTGTGTGTACGTAGACATGCCCTGTTGGGAACTGTCCCACCTGGTTTCAGGGACTGTAGCCTCGCCGACAGTCAGGAGGGCCCCAAGGCTGGAGCTGAGCAAGGAGGCCTTGGGAAAATAGGCCACGGAGGAGACAAAACCTGTCACCTGGCAGTGGCGCAGCCCCTGCCTCCCTCACATCACCCCGCTTGGTCCCAGAGGATGGCTGATTAGTCAATGACAGTTAAGACCCTTCAATGGCAGGGACAACCTAAGACAGACACAGTCATATAGGGGCCATTGGGGAAGGACTTGGGGGACACAGAGAAGGGGAAAAAGACCCTCACCTCTTGGCTTTGTCATGGCCAGAGTCCTCATTCTGTCTGAAAGAAGCCTCCTTATCTGTTGGCTGCTCTGTCATCCCGCCCCCCCCCCCCCCCACTCAGGCTTGAAACAGTGCTAGAGGCAGGTACCATCCTAAACTGGATCAGGCGGTTCCCAGGGGCAGTTAGTCCTGGAAAAAGAATGCATTGAATCCTATGAAACCTGCTGTGCTAAGAATGCTGAGTTAATGAGTACTGGTGTTTGGGGTCTGAACATAGGATGAGATTATTTTCCCAGGTTTCAGGGCCGAAAGGGCGAATGGGCGTCACTCTATCTACCAGACCCTGACTCAGATAGACTCTGGTAATCCCTTTACTGTTATCTTTAAATCATATCTCCTTCCTTTAATCATTACTGTTTAACATTAATTGATGAGCTTTACACACATTCTGTGTATCCCTATATCAGCTCAACTCAGTAAAAGCCGCTTCAAGAGAAGGGCTCTGGACATTTTCCGCTAGAGGGACTCGCCGCCCCCTTCTCCTGACGGGCATAGTGTCTGGTACTGTTGGTTTCTTCATCTGCGGCCACCAGGGAGACTCTGTGGGATGGGGTACCCCCCTCAGTGCACTATGTTGTTCAAGGGTCAGCTGTAATCTTCTAAAAGGGAAAATTATGGTGTTTTTTATTTTTTTAAATTTTTTTTATGAGTTTCCTCTACTTGAGGGATTTGGAAAAGGTTTTCCAGGATCAGGTCTGATAGCATTTGAGGGGCATTACCTCGTGTCCTACCTGGAAGGGATCCCCAGGGAGCTAAAGTGAAGCTCATGGCCATGACTTCCTCCCCGCTGAGGGTTTGTGTCCCTGGATATTCAGGAGGAGGTAGTAGTGCTGGTCCTTGGGTTTAGGCCCCTCTTAGCCTCGGCAGCCAGGTGTGCAGATTTTGCCATAAGGAAGCCTGAGTGGGAGACCTGCTGTGTCCTGCACAGGCTACTTCAACTGCTCAGTGTTTTGGTTTCTCATCCATAAAGGGGAGATAAAACGACGTATCTTTTAATGTTGCCGTGAGGTTTAATGTAAAGATGGTGTGTTCCGTACAGTCTTGGCACGTAATAAAATGTTCAGTAATTGTTAGCTGTTGCTACTATTATTATTGTATATATTTTTGTCATCACTGTTATTACTTTCCATGCTTTATTGCCTGCCCACTTTTCTCTAATGCTAGGTTTGCAGAGGTGTGGTACAGAAATACTTTCCTCTCTGGGGCTGCCATTCTGTGAATTTTAACATCTTTTGTGTGATTCCCCCCCCCCACCCCCCCGCTCTCCCTCCCTGCCCCTCATCACCTTACTGTGCTGGCCTCTTTCCTAAGGAAAAAAATCACAGTGAAAATATAAGAGGCAAATGCATTTGTATCATATCTTCTCTATATTTTAATTCAATCGACTACCTGAGGCAGGACAGTTTATAGTTGGTGAAAGTTTAATTTTGAACTTTATTAAATAATGGCCATATAAGAAATATTGAAGAAAGAGTTGCTTGCGATTCTTTGTTGGATCCCAAGAACACTGAGGCATCATTCTTGTCCATAATGGATTAAAATCTGTTTGGAGAAATGAGATGAATGCATATAAAAAGACAAGATTGTTTATGGCACCTGAGGGATGTGCGCTGTAAAGACTGGTCGGTGTGGATTTTTAGGAAGGGCTTTCCCTGCAAGAGTGGGGGATTTTTGAGAGGGGGGCTGTAGGCTGTGGAATAGGGGGGCCAGGGGCCCTGTGGCTGGCCAGGCCCTCCACACCCACCCCAGCGCCTTTGTGGTCAACAGCGAGCTCCCTGTTTACTTGTTTAATCCTTTTGCCCTCCTGAATTCTTGAATTCTTTAGGCATTTGTTTGGCCTGTTGACCTTTTTTATGCAGCACTATGCTCTTCTTCTTCTTTTTTTTTTTTTTTAATTTATTTTTTCAAATACATTTGTCTCTGCCTACCCCCCACCACTTTCCCTTGCTGCTCTTCTTTTCCTACCTTAATTCTTTAGTAGAAAAAGACACAGATTCTCTTTGTCTTCCCTAGCCTAGTGTTTCCGAAACATGAACCCAAATAACATTATACGAAAGAGGTTATTTTCGTAGTAATAAGGAAAGTAAGGGTAATAAGAATAAAAGGAATCACAAAAATAATCCTAAACTAGCAGAGGTGGGTTGCAACTTGGAACAGACGCTCTCCTGGCCTCTCTTCTGGGGACTGTTATGGAGTCTCTGCTGGTTCTCGCCCGCAGTGTCCGGTCCCTGCAGCAGACCCAGACACTGCCTTTAGCCTGACGTTATCTGACGGAGCATCACTTCCAGGTGCAGTGTCATCCTGTTATTTTTAGGACTGACTTCCTGGTCCCTCCTGGTGCTGTCCCTTTGCTGCCTCAGGCCGCACCGTTCAGTATTGGGGTGGGTTCTCCAGCCTGCCCAGGCACCGGGGCCGCCCGCGCTGTGAGCCACGGTTGCCTCCAAGGCTGCCCCTTAGGCTCCTGCTGTCAAACACTGACTCAGCCATTGCTTACTTTCTCCTTTATAGGGAAGCTCTCCTTGGCCTTGGTTTTGAAATTGCTGTCTGACCCCGATCATGAGAACTGTCATCGTATTTCTTTTATTTTGCAGAACTTTTCATAGCCTTTTTCTTGGCAAAGGCACAATTCTAAGGGCTTTCAAAAATTAAACTGTGTGATCCCAGTGGGAGGTTGTCCATAGTAAATCAAAGTCTAGGTGTTAAAAGCCAAGAGGTATTCTCCCAGAAGCAGGTTAACTCAGATATTTTATGGAATGTGTTTGTAATTAACTATTGTAAAATTAAAGACTAATTTTAAAGCCTAGGAAAATCATTTTAAAAAGCCAAATGTAACTGGATTTTACATTATTTCATGACTTTGGATGATCTGTCATGTTGTTCTTCCGAGTACACAAGAAATACCGACGTTTGAATGAGGAGCCTTTGAATATCTGCATTTCCAAATGCGATAGAAGTCAGTTTTATTTTCCTTTCATTCAGTTTTTCTTAATGTTAAAATTTTTATTATCCTGTGTTCTCTCTTTTTTCCTTTGTGTTTAGAGCTTAAGAAAAACAATTTAAAAAAAACACTTCTAGGAAACTTAATCTCACTTTTCCAATCTCCTTTTCCCTGAGAGTCTTTTAATTTTTTAAACATAGTAAGCATAGTAGTTTCATATTCTGACTGATAATCCCAACATCTGAAACATTGTGGACCTGTTTCTGCTGATTCTTCCTCTTGGTGGCTTGTTTTCCTGTGTTTTTTAGGGTAAGGTCCCGGTGCGTGTCCCCCCCCCCCCCCCCCCGCCCCCAGTGTTCTCCCTGGCCCCACCCCTTAATATGCTCATTGTCCTTAACAATTATTTGTTGGGATTCTTGAGGCTAGGATGAAAGTGTCTCCTCCAGAGGGGGGTACCTGTTGGCACTTCGACTTTGAGGACCCTCCCACCCCCCCCCCCCCCCCCCCGCCTCCACCCCACAGAGATCGGGAGTTATTAGGTTCCCAGGACCGCTCAGGTGAGGGGAACCAGGCTGCAAATCCAGGAGGGCTGGCTTGTGGCCATGGTTTTCCAGAAACAGGTTGTTTTCTCTCCCTCTTCCCTCTGTTCTGCTCAGTGGCCAAGGCCAACCCCCCCGCAGCCTGGAAACAGGGTGGGATTACTTCTAGTTCATCCTGTTTCTGAGGAAGGGAACCTCACTGGCCACGAGATTCTGTTTGGTGCTTTGCTTTTCTTTTACATCTTTTTTCCTAGATTTTGCATTGGTTGTTTTTTACCGTATCATGACTCTTTTGTTTTTTAAGATTTCTTTTTTTTTCAGTTGTCTTCCGTAGGAGGATTGGTTCTCATAACCCAACCTAGTGTCAGTAGAAGTGGAAATCTTCCTTATTTGGCCTTTGACAGTCCAGTGAGGTTCCCGTGCTGGTGGATGACTGGGGTGCTTTAGGGGATGAGGGAACTGAGGCAGGGAGAAGAGTAGTGATTGATTAATGATCAAACAGGTACGTGGCAGAGACAGGAACTCCTGAATTTGAGTCCAGCTTTCTGCTGTTGAGGCTTTTTCAGCAAGTGTGTTCTTAGCATTTTGAATGAAACATGTATATGTTGAGGTAATTTTAAAAAACATGCAATGCCTTTAAAAATCATTTAGAGCATGGACTGATAGACATTGTATTGGTACAACTTTTTCCAGCTATGGCATTTTAAATAGAAAATAACAATTGCTTTTTTCTTTCTTTCAGCTGAAGTGAGTAGTGAATACAGTATGGATAAGGCGATGGTTGAATTTGTTATGATGGATCGGGAACTAAACCATTATGTAAAGGCTGTTCAGTCTACAATAAATCATGTAAGTTTATACCACTCCTCTGGTTGTGTTTGGTTACAACTCTGTGACCTAGAAATAAAAACACAAAATCAAAATTCTTCTCTAATATTTCCTTATTTTTACCGTAGTAGCCATTAATTCCTTCTTAATCAGGAAGTTCATAGAATAGGAATCTTAAATACTTTCCCAGGGAGGCCACCTAAGTATAGTTAGGACATTACATCTATCCCTGCATCTTTTGGTCTCAAACTTTTTAGCCTAAGCCTCCTTAGGATATGAGAAGACTTTTCTAAAAATTCCATGGAACTCGTTTTTCTTTTTCTCTTTACTTAAGCACACAATGTAGACCAGGTTTAGTCACTCATTCTCCAGCTTTAACTAATAAGCAGCTCTTGCAGAATTCATAGAATCAGATAATATGGAAAAGTTTCAGAGCAAGTTTAAAAATAAAGAAGCTTGGCATTTTGGTTCTTCCAGAAGCCAGACTTATCTCTGACTGCAGCTGCCACCAGGACGGCAGAGAGGTAGTGAAGGTGGGGACACAGCAACCTCCTTTTCAGCAGCACCAGGCTGAGTAAGAAGTGAGCAATACAGTTGCAGTGGTGTTTCTGAGAAGCCCTTTGTCCTCTGAGCAGTGGAAACTCCCCTTTGAACTTATTTCATATACCTGTGTAATCAGATGTCTTGTAGTTCTGGTTTCATTATTTGCCTTTTCTACTTATATCTGTGGGAAAATTCCAAAAATCAGATATTTTATGAGATTGGCTAATATTCAGTGGAAGATAAATTTGTAAATATGATATAATCCTTAAGTCATGCTTAAGTGAGCGTTACCTAGTTCTATAAAGTTATAAAAGCTTTTTAAAAAATTCTGGTTTAAATTTTTCTTTTCAGTTTTTTGTTGTTGTTGTTGTATTTGATTAGTGTTTATTAAGTGTATTGTTTGTGATTAACTTAAGAATATCTGTTGCTATCCAAGTAAGAAACTCAGAAAGTCTGGCTTCTAAAGTCTGATGTTGCTAAGGCATTGTGGCTGTCAGTCCTGGTACTGTGAATCTTTCTTCCGTAGGAAAATATGAAAATGACATCACGTCGGGGCATGTGAAACTGGATAACAAAGCACTTAGATCAGAGGTTTTCAATTCCAGCTGACTTCTAGAACCAGCCAGTCTCTACGCTAAAGAGAATCTGATTTCATTGGTTTGGAGCAGGATTGGGGGAACCTATATTTTTCATAACTCATTCGAATATGTATCCAGGGTCGAAAACCACTACCTTAAAAGAGCAAGGCTGACTATAGAATAAAGTGCATTTGCTACCAAAGATCAGAGTTAGCCCTATTATACAGATCAATCCTGCTTTGACTCTTATATTCTATGGAGGTTATTTGATAGGCCTGTCTATTTTTAACTTTGAAGTTGTGCAAATGGGAGCATAGTGTACATTATAGATAAGAAAACCAGATTTGGGAAGTTAAAGAACTTAATGTGGATTTTTTTTCCCCTATTAAACTCTAGGATTCACAGATACTTAAGGTATTTTTAAATGAAGAAATGAACTCTTTTCCCTTCAAGAAACTGAGCCACTCATTTAAAAAAAAGCCCCTCCCCTCAAACGGCTGGTAGTTAACAGCATTTCTTTCACCTTGAGGCCTCTTCCCATTACTCCCACCCTACTAAACAGGAAAGACTATGCTTGAGTTTGTGGTAGATTGCAGAGCAACTGGATTTAGTGATTCTTGTGCTTTTGAGGAAGGTCCCTGGTCTTTTGTAAGAAAAGAAAACATATTTATTGTTCTTTTCTGATGCAAAGTTGTGCTCTTTATGTAAGCTTGACACAAGACCAAGAATAGTAAACCATAATTTTAGAAGATTTCTAAGGCCTGAAACCATATGGGGACATGAGCAGTATTTCAGGAAATATTTTATACCTCCTAATGTACTATGTAGTCTTTACATACTTGAAGTTATGGACATTGCCATCTTGTTGCTTGTTTTGGTGAGGGATAAGAAATGAGCAGTAGCTTGAGAGGGGCCAGAATGGTATAGCTCTTTAGAAATAGCAATGATCTCGGGATCAGAAACCCTTCCAGCCTTAGTTCTTCCAATTGCTAAGTTATGATCCTGAGTCAGGGAACGAAACCTTTCGGAACTTCTTTTTCTTCATCTATAAAATCCTTGGCCTGCCTGTTTCACAAGATGATTATGTGAGTCAGATTAAAATAGTGTGTGTGTGTGTTTCAAACACTTTGACATTCATAAAATTGGATAGAGATATTAAGACATTATGTTATTGTAAACCCAGATTTCGAAGCACATTGCTTAGGAAAATGGAGCAAAGTCTTTCTCAAAAACAAGTACTTTGCTCACTTCATTTCAGGGCTTTGAAATAGAACTTTAATTGGCTTTGACCTGGCTAGTCTAAAATTTAGGAATCATAGGATTAGGTATGAGCTTGTTCAGTTACAGTGTGAGGTGTTCCTGACCTCTAAAACAAAGAAGTTGTTTAAGTCAGATCACTAAGAAAGAACACAGATTGTAGCAACCTGGCTGAGTCCCCGTTCAACTTCTGCTGTCACAGACTTGTAAGAGCTGCTCTCCCATTGCTGTGTCATATGCCCCGGTTCTGATCCTTCCTGTAGTCGCTCTGTTTATGAATTTTCATATAGTCACAGCATGTTAAAAATTAAACATCAGAGGGCTTTAGAGCCTGTTATTTAAATAAGTCTCTCCCCCCCTGCTCTCACCTGCACAGAATCCTGGAGGTTGTGTACCCCTGAAAAGGTTTGAGCAGTTTATTTTGGAACCTGAGAAGTGTAGGTCAGTTTACCAACAGTCCCAGGGAAACCCCTTTCAGCAGAAGCTCTCACATTGCCTTTCTGTGTCCTTTGAGAAACTGAGAGCTGCTGTATATTCTCCAAAGCCCAAAGATCTTATTTGGAATCAGTATTTATTTCAGTTCTCTGAAAATTTAAGAAAAAAGAACCGTGTCCCAGGTAGTTTGTAAGGCAGTACTATAGAGTAGCACTTAAAACAACAACAGCAACAACAAAGAAACAGATAGTCTGTAAGTCATTTATAAAAACTTTCAGGATAAATAGGTTTTATACTTGGCACAACTCTTCAAAACATTCATTTCGAACTGCAAAGAGGTCTGTATGAATTCATTGGAGACTTTGAGTCATGAGACCACACAAGTGATGGAAGTGTTTGAAGGCTGTAAAATGGCACATAGATGAACTATGGTGCAGCTACTTCCTTTCTCTCTGTCACTGCGGGGAAAAGCTTTGCTCAGTTTCATGTTGAGAGGGGACTGAAGTTCTGAACATCACACTTAATGAGTTAATGCTCCCCTACTTGATTTCTAAACTTTTATTTCTTGAGTATATTGAATGGACACCATTGGTTGGGCTCTTTGTTCTCAAACGTTCATTGACTGAATATTTACTTAACGTCTCTGTGTGCCAGATGCTTTTAGGTGCAAGACACAGGGGGTCAGTCAGTCAGACCCATGTGACCCCCACCCTCAGGACGTCCGCAGTCTGGAGACGGGGACACGCATTTAGCACAGAGCCATATACACGCTACTTAAATTGTGGTGTGTTCTCAAAGGGAAAGCACAACGTTCAAGGAGAGCAATAACTCAGGGGGTATAATATTCTCGGGGAGTTGGGGACTTCTTCCTGAGGAAGTGATATTTAATAAGGTCAAAGCCAGATAAGCCTCAGCATGGGAATGGTGACGTAGAACTTCTCTGTTTATGTGCCTTGTGCATGAAATGGAAGGTCTGTCTTCCGATCGCCTGAGTGTCAACGTTTGAGAGTACCTTGATCAATCCAAAGATTTAGTCTGAGAAAATTAGGCCAGAGAAAGCCTACCTTTATGTATAGAAAGTTTCAAGTATAAAGAGTAGTTGAATAACCTCCCTGAGCTTGGTCAGCGACCGTTCGTTCACAGATACGAGTGCTGCCGTGTACCGGGAGCTGTGCCTGGTTGTGCAAATCAGGGCGGTAGCCGATTGAAGAATCACGTCATTGCTGACCTTCTGCTTCTCAAACCACTGGCCCAGTCACTGCACTTCACTAATCCTCTCAAAATGAGGCTATTTACCCTGTAGTGAATAGAAGGGGTAGTACTGTGGGATTCTGATTCTGTGATTCTTTAATTTTGAAAGACTAAGCCTGTAGTCCCATCCTGCGGGCTTCAGATTCCAGGGGCTGGAAACAGTTTAATTCAAGGGATCCGCAAATCCATTTTCAGGTGTGCATTTTTTCAAAAAGATGGTAAGGAGTCCCGCTGCTGCCATCAGGATGGTCCTCGCAAATTTATATGACCTTGATTCTCCTTGAAAAAGGACAGTGCCGTAAAGCTCAGGGATGAACGGCCTGGCAGGCTCAGGCTATTGCACACGTCGTTAGCAGTCAGTGATGAAACGCATATCCTCTCTGCTTTCTGATGGGCAGTCTGGTGCTAGAATTTAGCAAAAGTAACTAAAGCTTGAGATTCACAATATGCTTTGTAGTTTATTATTTTTTTGTCATGATACTGTGCTTAATTGTGTAATTTTACTTTAACAAACTTTAAATATCAAAAGAATTGTCCGATTTTACCCCTACGTGTTCTTTTAGTGTGTGCTCTTTCAGCATATTAATGTATTGGGAAATCCAGAGCATTTGTATTTTCTTCACTTTCTCACTTTCTTTGGTGCTGCGTGTTGCTTATAGATTACATAAGATTTGAAAGCATTGAAATTGGATAGTTGCCACATATTTGTTTTTATTTTGTTCTGAAGTCAGTATTTTATAACAATTCCCACCAAAAGCCTGGGGAAGGAGAGTATTTTTCTTCTTAACCTAACAGGAGCAATTAAGGGCTAAAGTAGTCTGCTTGTGGTGTTTCTTACAAATGTGTTCATGGGTATGCCCCTTGTGCTGTGTGGTTTTTACTTGATAAGTTAACCTGAACATTGAATCTGGCTGAAAGGTAGAAGAGTGGAAATATACCCCGTGTAAGCTGTTGAAA